TTTATCAAATCACCTCATTCTTTGGGGCAACACGTGAGGAACACAAATGCAAACAAGCCTGAATGGTCCCCAGGACTATATGCGACTGAAAACTATTATTTATTGTGTTCCTCACGTGTTGCCCCAAAGAATGAGGTGATTTGATAAAATGCTATGCCCAAGATTACCATCCGAGTGCCGGCGGGGGAGTGGTTCAAATAGCCTCAGCTATCACTTCCTTATGTCCGGTCGTGATTGGTCAAGCGGATTAAGGCGTCCCTGTACATACCAGTTGCGTTGCTCCTGGCAGTATGGGTTCGAGTCACTTCTGGGGTGTGAGTTTTCAGTCATATATATATATATATATATATATATATATATATATATATATATATATATATATATATATATTATAGAGAGAGAGAGAGAGAGAGAGAGAGAGAGAGAGAGAGAGAGAGAGAGAGAGAGAGAGAGAGAGAGAGAGAGAGAGAGAGAGAGAGAGAGAGAGAGAGTAAAGAAGAAGAGAAATAAGGAGTCTTAAATAAAAGAGTGAAAATGAAGACATCATAAAAAGAAAGGTGAAATGCCATGCAACCTCTGAAGAGACAACTAACACAACACTTGTACTCCTTATTAGACTATTTTACAGGAACTTCTTTTCGACGGCTCATAAAACGGAGGAAAGGGTCCTGAAATATATTGTTGATAGGAACGTTATCCCTACAGACAAAAATCAGAAAATACAATTGATAATTTATTATAAAACCAAAAAAACGGCCAATCTACTCATGAAAAACTCCCCCAGACACCAAGCAGAACGCTTGGAAGGAAACCAACGTCGTCTATGCTTTTAAATGCCCACTTGGGGACTGTAAGCCCCAAAGAACTCAGTATATAGGTAAGACAACAACGTCTCTTTCCAGGCGACTAACAATGCATAAACAACAGGGCTCCATCAAGAAACATATAATCTCTTCTCACAACCAGACCATCACCAGAGAAATCTTAACAACACAGAAATCATCGATAGGTACAGCGATCACAGGCGGCTCGACATCAGCGAGGCACTACACATCAAAAAGTCAACACCAGCAATCAACAGCCAATTAATGTACAACTATATTCTACCCACTTCAAGGCACTGTATGGGCCAATAGGCCCTCTGCAGTTACATCCATTCTCATGTACCCACCTCGCCCAAACCAATAAAAAGCAAGTGTTATGTCAAATGTTTCATACACAGTGTATCAAGTGTATCATAAGTGTAGTGTTAAGTGTAAAGAAGTCTTTGAGAATGTAAGAAGCCCTTACGAAACGCTTTTAGGCGTCAGACCATTAATACAAATGAAATTTGGAGAATTGATATTTTTATTACCACCGACAGTGAAGAAAACATAAGAAATATTGAAAAAATTAGTGTTAGAATTATTATTCTTACTTTTTCGGTCATATTCAACAACATATGTTTACAAGAAAGACTGCTACCAAAATATAATATATAAATATATATGACAATGTCAGACCACGGAGGAAAATGAAACAGGAATTTCCTTTAAGGAAATTCCTGTTTCATTTTCCTCCGTGGTCTGACATTGTCACATTCTTAATCACGTGTTTATTTTCGTGATATACACACACACACATATATATATATATATATATATATATATATATATATATATATATATATATATATATATATATATATATATATATATATATATATATATATGTATAGTTGTGCATTAATTGGCTGTTGATTGCTGGTGTTGACTTCTTAATGTGCAGTGCCTCGCAAACGTCAAGCCGTCTGCTATCGCTGTACCTATCGATGATTTCTGTGTTGTTTACTAGGATTTCTCTGGCGATGGTTTGGTTGTGGGAAGAGATTATATGTTCCTTAATGGAGCCCTGTTGCTTATGCATCGTTAAACGCCTAGAAAGAGATGTTGTTGTCTTGCCTATATACTGGGTTTTTTGGAGCTTACAGTCCGCAAGTGGGCATTTGAAGGCATAGACGACGTTGGTCTCTTTTAAAGCGTTCTGCTTTGTGTCTGGATCCAGACACAAAGCAGAACGGATCCAGACACAAAGATCTCTGGATCCAGACACAAAGCAGAACGCTTTAAAAGAGACCAACGTCGTCTATGCCTTCAAATGCCCACTTGGGGACTGTAAGCTCCAAAAAAAACAGTATATAGGCAAGACAACAACATCTCTTTCTAGGCGTTTAACGATGCATAAGCAACAGGGCTCCATTAAGGAACATATAATCTCTTCCCACAACCAAACCATCGCCAGAGAAATCCTAGTAAACAACACAGAAATCATCGATAGATACAGCGATAGCAAACGGCTTGACGTTTGCGAGGCACTGCATATATATATATATATATATATATATATATATATATATATATATATATATATATATATATATATATATATATATATATATATATATATATATATATATATATATATATATTTCTCTTTCAGCGCCTCAGTGTCGCGATCCAGAGGGGGAATGCTCGCTGCATCCTCGGTTCCTGCCCGGCGTCGGAGGAGTTCGAGGAAATCTACAGCCTCTAGGAAGCGAACTCTTTTTTTGTGTCCTCTTAATGTTAATTTTTTGTATAAAATCAGATATGTAACTGTATAACCTTGCATAATGAAGTGTACACCATAAAAAAGGAGGGTGGTAGGAGAAGCGAACACTCTTACGTATTCAGAGTTAAATGGCAATTTTTCCCTGAATGCTCTGTATTCCCTTCTCTGAGGCTGTGGGTCCCTATAATTGCACCAGAGGTGGTACCCCCTATATATATATATATATATATATATATATATATATATATATATATATATATATATATATATATATATATATATATATATATATATATATATATATACACACACACACACACACAACATAGCTAATAATCGCTGATCTCATCTATAAGTGGAATACGTTTGTCGAGTAGGATTTTCCTTGCAGGTTTTAGAGACAAAGTTGAGCTGCTGTAAATATTGTACTAGTCAGCTTGGGATTAGTCTCTAGTAACTTGCAGGTGATGCGCGTCACTGATACCGGCCTGCAGTCTAACGGTTCTTGTCTTTACCCTTTTTCGTATATTTGCGCCACATAGCTGTTTTCCCGCAGTGTGTACGTGTGTGTGTGTGTGTGCAAGTAATAGAGAACACGATAGGACTTAAGTAATATTTGCAGGGCTTCTGGCGTGATCGGTAATGCGATTAAGTGAAACTAATGCCGCCACCACCACCACCCTCGCACCCACTGCTCCGCAGCCCGCCGTTATGTCCGTGTCATGCTGCCTCTTACTAAATCCTGTTGCTGCTGACTTGAATCCTACTACTTCCTCCACAGTTTCCTCACTCATCACCCTCTTATTGCCTCCTATAATCGCATCCTCCCACTACCATTTCTTCCTCCCAACAATAGCCTCAAACAGGAAACCATACTCAGTCATTGAACCTAATGCTGAGAACCTGCAAAAACATCATGCAAATTATCAAAATATTAATTTTACCTACTAATCAACTTTTGCCTCATGCAAAAAAAAAAACATTAGAGTAAGCACGTGTTAAAAAAAGGTTTGTGCAAAAGGATAAAGAAATTTATGTGGTGAATAATAGCACATGAAGACATATACAGTATTAGCAATTAAAATTAAACACAATTAAAATATAACAAATAAAACAAACACAGCCATGTCTATCATAACGAACATGTAGAGTGAATATGTACTCACTGAGACTCGATGATAATTTCCTATAGTCTATGATAAACACAGTTGCCAACTGGTGTTACCCCTTTCTTCCTATGTACATCTTGATCCCTTCCTGTACCTTCTCTGTTTCTAATATCTAATCGTAGGCTTCCTCGTTTTATTTCCCTGTTGTATATTACATCTACCTACCTTTTTTATCTCATCCTGTCCATTCTTTCCTCATATTACCGTACTCTTTTCACTATCCTCGCCCCCCCCCCACTCATCTATTCTTGCCCATTCACCATACAAATTAAATTATACCTAATATCAATGACATCGCTCCGACTTTGGCTGTTACGTGTTCCACTGCACCCTCTTCTATTACTGCAATGTTAGTAACTTTTAGTCCTACTTAGCTGTGTTAGGTGGGTGATCTAGTTCAGTGGTGAATTTTCAGGAACAGTTTGCTAGTTCTTTAGAGTTCTTTATCACTCCATGTGAGTTCTCATGTTTTTTTCACTTCTTAGTTACCGTCAGTTTTTATTGTTATTTGTTTTGGTGACTACAGAAGCTTAGTCTAATCCTTGGCTTTCAGTGCTATGTCGTTCTCTTATCATCTGGTTCTGATGTGCTTATTCTCGTCTCTCCAACTCAGCTCCGTTCTCCTTGGTGCTACCCCATTTACTTCATACCCCCTTTTATTCCTGATTATATTTTTCTGACACTGATAATCATTACTCTATCGCCCTTGCCCCAGACACGTGCATTTAGCCGCCAGTCTTGTTCTTGCTGTTTCTGGTTGCTTAATGGCTTTCCCGACCTCTGGAATAGTCCTATCGGCTTCTGCAAATGTTTTCCCATTACTGGGGAAAAGCTCTCCACCTCTTGTATTTTTTCCTTTCATTTCCTTTGTGCCTGTAAATACTAGGGTAGGAAGTAAAGGTAATGATGAAGTATGATGACCACTTACCATCCCTATTTTCTCCCTCACTCTATCCTTTCTGTGAGTACTTTCCCTGTTTCTTAACTTAATTCCATAATTTTTATCTCTTCTATCTTTCTGAACACATAAAGCACAGAAACAACTATGATATTCATAATGTTTAACAATACAAAAAACACACGAACAGCTAAAAAAAAAGCAAAAACTGCGTAGTAGCTAAACAAAAGGATGAACACATGAGCATAACAAAAATAAATGATAACACTTAAAAGTAGAGTAAAAACATGGGTGCAAAAGTAATTTAAAAAAAATGACGCAGGAGGTGTAGAGGACGTACGTACCTGGGAGGGGCCGGTGGCCGGTGAGCACGGGTTCACAGGTGACCGGGTGTAGCCAGGTGGTGAGTCGAGCCTCCTCACTGCAACACACAAACATAGCCATCGTCTCAGTACACAGTGGCTGCGCGGGTGGGGGGGGGGAAGCAGGGTGGGGAGGGAGAGGGGGGAAGGAAAGGTCGGTGATAAATACAGGAAGGGAAAGTGGGAGTGATTGGACTGAATGAGATGGGTGCTGAGCAGGTGAGCTATGGCAAGCAGTGGGCTGGATTGGTGTGGTGGGCAGTGGGCTGGATTGGTGTGGTGGGCAGTGGGCTGGATTAATGTGGTGGGCAGTGGGTTGGATTGGTGTGGTGGGCAGTGGGTTGGATTGGTGTGGTGGGCAGTGGGCTGGATTGGTGTGGTGGGCAGTGGGCTGGATTGGTGTGGTGAGCAGTGGGCTGGATTGGTGTGGTGGGCAGTGGGTTGGATTGGTGTGGTGGGCAGTGGGCTGGATTGGTGTGGTGGGCAGTGGGTTGGATTGGTGTGGTGGGCAGTGGGCTGGAAGAGTGTGGTATGTTATGGGAAGGCTTGTAGGGAAAGGGGTGTGCTTTGTGATGCTTCGTTGGCCAATCCTGCCGTGGTCTTCAGAGGGGGGAGGGGGAACGTTGTTTTAACAATACATCTTGACACTTCGCAAACAACGGGACTGTTTCTGGTCCTCTTCGTCCGAGCTTAACATAAAGCGATAGTTTTTGTTACTGGCAAAATAGTACTTTATCCGATTGTACATCACTGTTTCTTAAGATTAATATGTCTTTTTAAGTTTCTCTGTTACTTGGATTTGTTAAGAAAAAGGGGGGGGGGAATATAGGTTGCTGAGAGATAAAAAGTTTAATAATCTTAATTTACCTCTTTCACTGTTATTATACACAGACGCACACCCTGTCAAACTATCCAAAAATGATAGTACCCATAACTACTATGAATAGTAGTCCAAAATATGGACTGTTGCACCCATAGAAATTAACGTTCTAGTACTATTATTTTTGTAGAGGGGCCCGAGAAAGAAAGATATAACCAATCATAACTTTTCCTATGCCTAGTATAGTACTTATGTGTGAGAAATAATGAATTATAGTATGTTGAGGAAATCCGTAGGAGCCGTGATGTGGGTTCGAACCCTCATCACTGCTCCTACGGATTTTCCCATCGATGCAATCACGTTAGTGTGATTACTCTCTGTACATAGTGTATTGATAATATGAATGTTTAAATTATGTCTAGTTTAACCTACTAAACAGTATTTAGGGTAGGTCAAGTTTCTGTTAGGTTTGGTTCAAATTAAAAAAAAATATTTTACAATTATACTAGGCCCAATAAAATATACAAAAATAAGATATAAGACGTCTAAATGTCCAAAGAACATAAGAAATATAAAGGTAAATAATCCTAGAATCATTAATCTAACCCTTTCGGTCATATTTATTAAATACACTACAGGAGACTGCTTCTATTATATATATATTCTTCAAAATTACAGCATGGTACTCTTATTGTTGGGAGACTCGTGACCATTAGTGTGTTAGATTATGCATAAATTACATACTACATATTCCGTATTAAGCATTGGATTTGGAATATTATACATATTTCTCCATGGACGAAGAATATGTAATTTTATATAGGCCGAATGAGATATGGCGAAATAGCTATTGTAAACCGAACAGACAATCTATCCTGATGGTCCTGACCTTGAATCTTAATGGGACGGGGTGACACCTCTAGTTTAAAATTTAGTTTAATCTACCTTGCGTTGTACAGCTATATATCCCCACTGAACTCATCCTCGGACTAAGTTGTTCAAGCAATCGTAAATTTTTACTTACTATGTTAAAAAAACTGTCATCAAATACAAATTAACGTTAATGCATATTATAATGTTATGCATAGTTAGACCTAGGATACGTTAGGTGTTTTGATTTTGTTGGCAAATATTTGTATCTGCAATACGTGGGTGCAATACTGCAATTCAGAGGTGAGATTTGAACCCAGGAAGAGATGCACCGTTCAAGAAACGTTCTAACGTCATCAGTTGTGAGTCATGTGCTTGGCGACTGGATTATGGAGCATTTGACAACTGTTTTTAAACTATTAGGCGAGGCTGCGCGCAGCTGCATCTAACAGCTTGACTGAGCAGACCATCAACCAGGAGGCCTGGTCTGAGACCGGGCCACGGGAACGTTGATCCTCAAAATCAATGCCTAAAACGCATGGCATTAATACATTAAATCAAACGGAAATGTATTATCCTGTCTCACTTTGGGTCACCCACACGCTCCTCTCACCATTCCTCGTACTACCAATGAGCAATTCTGACCTTGTCGTGGGCCTGGTCAATATAAGAATATCTTTACCGGCGAGAATAACTCAATACCACATGTATAATAATGGCGCCCACAGGTGTACCCGGGCGCTGGACAAACACGACTGGGCATCAAGGGGGTATCAACGTTCGCCCTCATACACTCAACGCTTACCGCGGATCAACGTCCTCCGTGTACCTGTATATCATATTCGACACCGTGCTCTCTGGTGCCACCCGTCAAGAGGTGACACTGTGCCACAACAGGTGTTCGGGGTGCCCGGAGGAGTGACTGAGGGAGCGCGTGCGCACCGGCGTCGCCGTCCGCACGCCGCACCTGCCAGCTGTCAACTGGCGGCCACGCGCCACACACTTCCGTAGGTGTACCTCACATTGTTGCCAACCAACACTCACAATTCAGTCAGGCTAAGAATCACCTTACAATCCCGTAACCTGACCATCCTTTACTAAAATATAAGTCTAAGTAAAATATTTCTGGCACCGAACTAATAAAAAAAAACTCAATGAAGTTATTGACAGGCTACATTAGGCTAGCGCTATATTTTTTTTATTTCTTTTTAATCTTGAATGAACATTTGCAATCTTTACTTCTCCCTGCCAAGCTAATCAATATAATCAAAAATATTCTGTACAACAAGGGGTTAAAATTTCGTTTCCGTGACTATAAGTAGTTATGGGGTGAGGCGTGAGGCCAGCAGGACGTGGCATCAGTGGGAAAGAGGGGAAGTCTGGGACGCTAGCATTTTCCCCTCACACCGGTATCCTCAGGTATACACACTCTTCCTCATTGGCAGCTATATTTACTTCTTATATACATTAAACAGTGACGTCCACGCCGGGATTTCTTATCGGTGTGAACCTAGCAATAGCTCTTGAAACGTTAAATACATAAATCTGTCAGCCGATATTATCACGTCAACAAAAACACGTTGAATTTCCAAGTATATATATACTCCAACAGACACTATACGAACGGTTCTCTCTCACACACACACACACACACACACACACACACACACACACACACACACACACACACACACACACACACACACACACACACACACACACACACACACACACACACACACACACACACACACACACACACACACACACACACACACACACAAAGCAGTATTGTGGAGTAGTGAGAGGGATAATGTCCTGTGGTGACCTGTGCGCAGACGCCTATTTCTTTTTTTTTTTTTACTAACACATTTCGGTACATGTGCATTTGTGCAGCTCCCCTAGACTATATGAAGGAGGAGTACAGCGTGTGATTTTTCGCATCTACGTGATGCTAAAAATCCCCACATTCACAGGATGGTTAGTCATATGAAAGCATGCGCAGACGCCCAGCGCGGGAAGGTGGCCACCAGCTGCCGGGAGTTCCACATACCTTCGTCCAGTCTGCAACGCATCGTTCACTTGGACGGCCAGCGGCTGGTGTTTGTCCAATGCCCAGCCTGAGAATATTAGCAAATGTTCTTGTTGTCCTCAGAATCGTCGAGGTGTATCGGGTATAGTGATGACCATTCCGATAATGTCCGAAATACTATAATACTGCCCGAAACGCTGCGCGTACTAGTGGCTTTACAAGATTGTAATTACTATCCTATGTATCCTCACAATCCCAATGTACCTTCTTGTTTATATATATAAATAAATAAATAAATAATGTCATCGAAGAGTTATTAGTCTGCGCATGTCAATAACATGGAACAATTACATGTTAGCGCCGAGCAAGAGTTCAATTTAATTCTGACGACTATGATATTATCTACTTTATAACAAAATATTATTTTTTTCTTAGTTATTATCATATTTTTGTTAATTTATTTATATGATTGAAAAATGGCAGAGAAAGTGAAACACACAAATTAAAACTTCCATTTCTAGTGAGCAGAGATGAAATATAACCTAACTAATAAATTAAATATAGTTTGTTGACCTTTATTCCGCTAGATCACAGTTGGCTACAACATCACCCCTGTACCTAACATGATTGTAGCTTATCATACACCAAGTTTATACCAAATATAACATAATAAAGCTAAAATCATTAAATACGAGTTTTAGGAACAACAATCCTATCCCTATTAAACCCTAGATTTATTATGTTCTTGACCAGCGTTAAAAGTCAATGTACCATTAAATTTTACTCTGGATTACAATAAATTTGCGTGTGCCCATTTTAGTATACGTTAAGACTTTGCATTCCAAAACAGAACGAAATTAGTCGTTTCCAAAGCTATTATACCTAAAAAAAAAAATTATGAATTATATTGTGACATTTTCCACTTCACTTACTCTCAGTGGCGCCTTGCTAGATGACTCGACAATATCGTATGCCCGAGAATGTGCAAATGCTCGTAATACTGTAATCACCGATTGTCCCACTGTGTTTTCCTTGATTTGATATTAGCTATAACTATATCACATAATCGAATATGTGCATATGCTCTGAACACTGTCATCGTCGACTTCCCAACCATGTTTCTTGATATGATTGTTCTGACAACTACGTCACACCTATGTTCCGATACTCTAAATCGGCGTTCTCACTTTATGTCTCTTAATTAGATGGTTCGGATGCCCTGTGCTATCATCTCCCTGCATGACACAGTGGTTCCTTGGCTGTGGTCGCTGGTCAGGTCACTCACCCCCCCCCACCCCCACCACCCCTCCCCTTCATCCTTCCAACCTCCACATCTG